TGGTTAATGACCATAGCACGAAAATAATATTGATTCAGCAATAAAAACTGATCCTACTATGAATCGTATGTAAAAGAAATGGACCAACGCGATTAGGACAATATCTACATCTTTGAGGGTTATAACGATCCGAATCTGGCATCGGTACTCATGTTTGCGATGCCGAAGAGTATTTCGTATCGTAGGATCATTCGTGCCTTTTGGCATCGCCAAAAGTGAAATATAAAAGAAAGCATAAGGGTTGGTACAGGTGGGAGAACATGTGAAGATGTGATTAGTACCAACGCATCAAACGATGTGATCCCGACGATGCGAAAATGCATAGGCGCTAAATGTACTACAACGATTCATGTACTCGCGGAACAATACTCAGCGAATGGTAACGCGGTGTTTTCAACTAACTCAAGAAGGCCTGCTTCTTCATTGCCTGCGCATCGTGGCGGAGTTGACAAAATTTGTTTCAAGGATAGATAATTGAATGTATGCAACTAGGCTGTAATGCATCAGCGACACCTCTTGGTTGATATTGCACACAAATGAAGGCAAAGAAACATAGATGTCGCTGTCCGCAGAATTTAAACTTAGACACATACTTTCAGGCATATTCATATCAAATTATTTTTCTTAGTTTCGCCAGAGAGCGTTTATCATGTAATAAATGCAGGGCAGAGACCGTGAAATTAATTCATTTACGTTTTCTAAGAGCAGCTTCAGAAATCAATATGGCAGCCAAATTGGCAATTCCTAAATTTGAAAAATCACACAAAAACAACATTTTCATTCTTGAACGCAGATGTACTTTCAACATGCGAAGTTGAAAATGGAATAAAGTGCTCCAAGGCACTTGATATGTTGACTGTGAGATTCAGTGAGTCAACTTTGTGTCAAAATAGTGTTTAAGATGCGTATGGTAGAAGCGCTTTACTTACATTTACGAAAATTTCTTAATGTTGGAATTAGCATTATTTTTCACATTTAACAGTGAAAATGCTCAATTCCGCTATTTTTAGTCCCTCGATGTTAAATGTGGTAAAGACACTCATCGTTTTCAGTACCCATTATAAAAGAGATAATGGCCGTGCCGTGAACCTTCTCTATGAAAACCGTTTTCTGGAACTACCCCTCAGATATCGTAAACCTATTTGATGCTCTTGCATATCCCTGCGACAAACTTTTAAAAGAAACCAGAATCAGAATAAAATTTTAAAATATATATAAATAACTCCATTTGAGTTAATAATTATTTTGTTATGAACGTTCTTTTATATTACTGTTTGACATTAAAAACAACAAGTAAGGAAGGGCTAAGTTCGGATGTAACCGAACAACTCGTTTGAGATTTCTTTGTGGATTGAGTGATTTTTTCGGTAGAAGGTCTACTATAGGCACTGGGGCCACATATTCAGTACCTAGGAGCTTGAACAGTTTTGGTTCGATTTAGACAATTTTTGGTCACAAGGTGGCATACTGAAACGTTTTATTCACGCAAAGTTTTACCCCGATATAATCATTGTTGCTTGATTTGCATGGCGGATTGTGAAAAAATCAGATGTAATCCGATTTCGTCCATTTTCGCACTATAACATAGAAATATGTGAAGAATGTTATGTACCGAATTTAAAATCGGTTAAGCTGATTCCAAAATATGGGTTTTCACCTAAAAGTGGGCGGTGCCACGCCCACTTACTAATTTTGAACGCGGTTCAATACCATTCTCATACCATCCTAGAGATAAAATTTAATGTCTCTGGCGTGTTTAGTGCTTGGTTTATCGCGCTCTTAGTATTTTTTACCAGTACCGTTATACGGGGAGTGGGCGGGGTTGTCACCCGATTTCACCCATTTTCACACTGTAGATAGAGGTGCTAAAAGCATTTGCTTCCAGTGAATTTTCTTATTATAGCTTTAGCGGCTTAGGAGATATGCACATTAAACTTATTAGGGGGTGGGACCACGCCCACTTAAAAAAAATATTTAACTGCAGATGCCCCTCCCTAATATATTATTGCGGAGCTTAGTTATGGCAATTTATTTGTTTTTAATTAATGGCGTTTTGTGAGCGTGGCAGTGGTCCAATTACGCCCACCTGCAATACCAACCGTCTTACGGTACCAAGAAACATGTGTACCAAGTTTCATAAAGATATCTTAATTTTTACTCAAGTTACACCTTGCACGGACAGATAGACGGACGGACAGACAGTCATTCGGATTTCAACTCGTCCCTTCATCCTGATCATTTATATATACATAACCCTATATCTAACTCGATTAGTTTTAGGTGATACAAACAACCGTTAGGTGAACAAAACTATTCTACTCTGTAGCAATAAGTTGCGAGAGTATAAAAATAATTCATACCTAGTAAGTCCTAACATTGATAACTTAAAGACCTAGTAGTTATTCTATGTTCTCTGCTAGTGGCCACTTATTTACAAAAATATGTACATCCTCAAGAAACTTTCGAAAAGTATTATTAGCTTCATGAATTTCATAGATGACAATGCTTAAAGGTCTACATATTTGAAAGATTGAATGGTATGCTTTTACTCACTCTTGCTTTTGAAGAAACTGAAACAAGGCTTTTGCTCTCCATAAGAAAACATCCATACATACACACATGCTTACATGTGGCCAGATATGTTCTTACAGACCGGTAGGCAATCGAGAGAGCACTCAAAATACAACTGAAACTTTACAATCAACTCCAATGCGGATTCGATCACTGTCCTCAGGTGAGATACAGTTAGAAACTTCGCGCATTCCACTCCAGATGCTCGTCGTAGCACGTCGGCTCTTCGCGGGAAGCCTTAGCCTTTTCAGTTTTCCTCTCTTCATTTGCGTTGTTTGTCTTGTGCCTAGAGGGTGTAAGCGAGGTGCCATGACTTGAACCCAGTTCAAATATTGTTCCCGGTGCAAGCACACATACAAACCGACTTGTGTTCACACATATCTACTTGTGCTATACATATATACCCTATACATACATTTAAGTACGCGCGTACACGGAAGATATCGCAATGCCAGTGATTTTAATCGCGAATTACTTAAAGTACATATTAAAACAAATGTGAAGCATATCGTGTCGTGAGAGTGTGTGTGGGTTTCTTAATTGTGGTTTCGTTTCGGTAAATAATGTACCTACTTAGCTTTGAAAAGTGAATTACGGAAGCACACCAGACGTACATGTGTATGTGTCCACGATAGTGTTGAAGTACCATATTTATATATTTGCGTATGTGTATGTGTCTTTAATGCCAAGAAAAGTAAACGATGAGAAGAATAAAGAAAACGCGAGCACGACGAGATCGATCAAACCGGTTCCCATTGGATTTCGGCTTAAGTCCCGAGTGTGTGAATTTGACCGCAAGAAAAGCTTAACAATAAACTAAGAAAAAACAACAAAACCAAATAAGAACGCAATGCAAAAGAAATTACCAAATGAACTGAATATTCGGTCAGGACAAAATGCAAATATGCCAAGAGTTATATACTTGTACAAGTACTATCTGCTCAAGTATATGGAATCAGAGCCACACATGAAATTTATAGTGCCTAAGTAGTGCTGACAAAGTGCTGACTCTTACCAAACTTAGCAATTTGTGTGTGATCGTCAACATTGTCGCCGTTTCATTGCAAGTCATTTTGCCGCCAACACGTTAATTCGAGTTCTGCTTTGATCATACTTACCGTTCAATTAGCAATCTTATGTACGTTCGCAAGTACAGTGAGCAAATGAGTACGCCAGCTCTTGCCAATAGTGTTTGCCTGGTGAATGGAGGTAATTAAATGATGTGCATGACATTCATTTCCTGAGATAATTTAAAAAAAACTCGACATTTGTGTCCAACGGAATGGTATAAGCAGAGATGCGAATAGAAAGTTTAAGTCAAAGGTAAGCAAAGTTTCTTTTGTCCTAAAACATACAACAACTACACTAAATATTCATTGTGGACAAAACGGCAAGCGCAACATCGCCGTCTTTTATGTGAAAGACCCTATCTCATAAACCTATTGACGACGTCTTCATGAAATTTAATTTAGGTGCATCAGTTTTAGAGATTCATTCATGTATCAAATACAGTCTGGTATAATTTAGAATTCTGCCCCCAACCAAACAGTGAAAGTATTGGACCCATTCTAATATGAAAGCACAATTTATATTAAAGGTTCGATATATGTACTATTGCGGTATGATGGGTATATGTTTACCCACTTTAGGAATGACGTGAAGGAAGTGATTGTGCTTATCTACATCCAAAATTCAAATTTCTTGAGAATAGTGTTTAGAGTTTCGTCAGTGAAACATTTTAATCCCGTACTCTCTGTCCCTCTGCCTGGCAATCTGAAAAAGTTAGAAAATGCTTAGGAAGATGGTTCTGATTGTAACGTATCTAATAAATGGGGTTTTATATTTCAAAAGTTCTTGCACTACCGTTTTGTGATAGGTTTAAGCACTGTTCGTTTAGTTCACAAATGGCTTAAACCAGTGTTGCCGGGAAGGTAAGAGGGTTGACAGCAAAATGTGTTTTACTATGTGTTTTATAATGTGTAAACTAAATGGTTTGTTGGGTTGTAAGTACAGAAGTATGTTTGTTTACTTGAATGCGGACAGCATATGTTGCTTAGCAGTCAGTTCGCTAGCCAAACAGTTCGTTTGCGCAAACGCTTCACTCTTGCTGTTTCCCTTATCGAATACATACCCACTCCAGCCTTACCAAATTTATTGGTAGTTCGCTTGTTAGATGATAGTGACTCACTCCACAGTCAGCTTTTGTTAACACCGAGGCGCGCTCAGAGCGCACAGAAATGCCAGCGACAATACCTTGCCAACAATTCACTGACTTCCCATTGCGAACAGCCGCATGGCTTGGCATTTAGTCGCTCCGAGCATTGGTGGTGAGTTCATTCCCAGAATGAACGCCATTCAACAATCGAGTAGTGAGCACATGCCCGACTCGAACGGCTCATTGGGCACTTCAGCCAGCTGCTCACTTATTCAGTTGTTAATGAGACAGAACGCGAAACGGTCGTTATTCACGTACAACGGGCACATGCGAGCAGTTCCAAGCTCAGCACATCATCAAAAGTGACAGCGAATAGAATACGGAGTGGAGGGCCTTTGGCTTCGAAATCCAATAAAAAGCGGGTTGATTGCGAACGGTAACGGCGCAATTACGTATGCAACGCAAATACTTACCAATATTTGTGCAATACAAACTGACACATAGTGAATAGGACGTATGTGTGTGTGCATGTGTTAAGCTACCGAGTATTGCCTTCGTATGTCGTACATGGCTGCGTATGAAACCGGCAGATGTGCGTATGAATGAAAAGTAGTAAAAGCACTAGTAATAACAATAACAAAAACAAACAAGATCGAAAAGCGGCAGTCAAGCGACGGCTTACCCTGGAACGTGATGAGTAACAGCAGCAACAGCTCGTGAGTTCGGGAATTGCCGTTGAATGCAATTTTATTAAAAACAGACGTAAAAAGTTCAACACACAAACAGCAAACAAAAACATTATTAATCAAATCGACGGCGTTCGCAACGTCGGTTGTCATTGTTCAGTGCAGCTGCTTTGAGACTTTGAAGCAACCGGTCGGAATGGAGCGAATTTTAGCAAGCGTTTGAGCCACTGCCGCCCCACCGCTTTCCGATAAGGGAGTGAAGAAAGAGAAAAACAAAACACTCCGGTGAATTATTGCTTCCATATGTATAAAATATTCATATGAATGTATGTACATATGTATGTACGAAAAGTGCAAAATATGTACTTATGCCACTTTTATATAACATTTAAATATTTATAATAAAAAGAAATCGCACACGCCATCGGCTGATGCAAATGTTTAATTTCCAAACATACATACATACTCCTGTACATGTGCAATTACGCGAATGCAGTGGAGACTTGATAAAACGAACATGCCATTGCCAAGCATTCGGTTAATTAGATGGAATTATCTACAATTATTACGATTTGTGCATGCATATCTGCAAGCTGTTAATTTTCAAAGCATAGACATTACAGTATATCAAAGAGAAAGAATAATTTCTCATCGGGGTGCAATCGGTTTATCGAGTCAGTACTGTTTGTGTATGTGTGTATGTGTGTGTGGGTGACCGTGGCAAACATTCAGATTACATGAAACGTGTCAGTTTAAATATGTATTATCGGTCGCATATGCAGTTGCAGTATCTGGCTGTGATCATTTAAGTGCAAAAAAGGTGTACCTACATTGATACATACATATGTATGTACATACTTGCATACTTGTATTTAAATCACCGGTTTCACTTTGCGGTTAGAAACGATTTATGAAATCTATAGGACAACACACTTGCGCGCATACACACGCACATACATATAAAATTACATATGTACATACATATACACATAATGAGTGATAAAAAGCAAACCGAGAACAGCAATTTCAATCGAGCTAAGTGAAAAACATTGTATGCATTTTATCTAGTGCCGACACTTCTGTACCTACACACATGCATATACATATTTATCAACGTGACATCCCCCTATTTGCATTGTCGTCCTTGAAGTGAAGTGCTTTCCACTGTGAGTACAGATCACCTGAAGAAGCGAATTGTTCGTGGAGCATTGGGCGCTTACTCTAGCAAAAAAAAAAACGATCTTCGCTATACTTATGTACATATGAATGTACGCCTTCTGTCGCTTATCATATCAGCGAACGAACGTCCGTCCCGCCACACGCTGCACTTCAATACAACTTTACAAACATTTTGGTACCATCAACAGCGTTATCGTCAAGGTAAATAGATATGAGTGTACACATACCATATAACATTCACTCTCATAATATTTGTTCATATCTACATGGGTTCAATATGTACATACAAATGCAAGCAAATACATATATGAACGTCTCTATGCATTCCTGAACTGCAAGGCACACTTCCCTTGATTATACCTATATGAACACAGTTTGAAAATATTAACAAATCATATCACAACCGCGCCATAGAAGGACATTTTGAATTCCATCAGATTCGTAATTTACAATAGGTAGTTCAAACAATAAGGTATGGAGAATCAAAATCGGTTTAATCCTTTCCTAGCCTTAAATGATTTCCGTACATAACGTCTCCCAACACGAATATGATGATATGATTTCTTGCGGTTATTAAATGCTTCCGAAATTGTGTTGCCATCTTACCATGTACGAGTATAAACGCTTGCGTTTTCATTGTTCAGCACTTTAAGTCTGTGGGTCTAAGTGTTTTATAAGTTTTTTAAGCTTACTAAATGTATTTAAAATGAGCCTGTTAAAAGATACTATAAGATAAATTGCTGTCGAGAATCCAGTACTTGTTCTGAAACAGAACGGTCTCCGTTGCCGATTAGCAGAGTTACCAGATTCCGTTCAGATTGATGTTTTTGTAGAAAGTTTAACTGAACTTTAACATTACCAAACCAAATAATAATATGCTCACACTCATATTTGACTCTGTACGCTTGGGTGGTTTCTACGTTTTACCTTTCTTCTCTTCGAAGCCAGAATCACCATGTGAAAGCTGAAAACCTTAACAACCATTTTATTTAATTTTTTGTTTGGCAGCCGCATTATAGCCAAGTTTAATTGCTTAAAAATATTAACATTCACCTGCACATACATTACACATACATATGTACATGTAAACATACACACTATTTTTATACAATTTGATGTACATACTTACGGATATGCTTTCGCATACATAAACACACATGCATACCTTTAGGCACTTTGCATGTGTGTTTGTGATTGTTTGCCAAATTGACTTGGTTCGTCGGAATATGCCTGCACACACATACACAATAATAGTGTATACATACATACATACAATTAAGCAAATTTAATTTTTTGAAACTCCAACAACGAAATATACTTTAGCTTTTTTAATTACTACAACATGTATGAATATATATGTGTTGAGTGCGTGACTACCACCTGGAGGGTCATCGAATTTCTTTTTACAGTCCGGGTCTGATTTCTTAAGATTCCCCAAATAAAAGGCCAACATGGAAGCAAAAATATCCCCTTAGTTGAGAATAGCATTCGTAAAGCTTAGCCATTGGATGCAGATATGTACATATGTACATATGTAGTTATGTATGGGCATCATTCGTTTCGCAAAAGACCTGCGGTGTCCAACCTCAGACCCATAGTACGACGGAGTGTGTGCTTATTGAGAACGTTGGCAAACAATGTCAACGTACAGCTATCAAAGGAATACATTGGCAAGTTAGATACTGGCATATACTTGTATGTACATACCATACATACTTATGTACAATACATGCGTTCTTTTTCGAATTGAATGCATTTGAAATTTGCAAAAGGAAATTTATGTATATTTATTAAGAATAAAAATTTGGTAAATCTTCTTCGCTTTTAACAGTGTCTAAAATCTTATTGAGCCTTATTAAAAGCGACCAATGAAGAACTTACATATACACATACTTGCATAATTTGACTTCCAAATGATATGCCTTACAGAGAAATTCGGAGTTAAAAGCAAAAATTTCCATATTGCATCGCTTGCATAGACGATTCCTTCAACCCCTTTCTCATTGAAGATGATATAGTACTTATTAATATATTCTTCTTCCTCATTACATTCGAAGGCAGTAAATTATGGTAAATCAATATTTAATAGTTAGCACATATACTAATATCTATAGACCATAGCATGCCTGCAAAATAATTGCATAATCTCCAAAGAGAGTAGTCTCAAACGAGTCTATTTGGAGTACAATTTACCTCAACTCAGAGACTCAAGATCATAAAAAAGCTAGAAATAAGGTGAAAGAAATCGAAATACACAATAGTAAATTTATTATGCCTTTATGAAATCAAATTACACAGCTTTACGTCCATACCTCATTCCGATAAGATCTAAATCTGCTGTCGCAACAAGTTGCATAGTAATATAACCTAAAACTAAACAAGATAGGCAAAAGGTTATATGTATGGTATATCAATTATAAAGTTAACCGTCGCCGACATATCAGTTAGTGGGAGATTAAATGTAATGGGTAGTTAACCTCAGATCAGTCAGATTTCTCTCAGAAATGTGCTAGTCGTATACAAGTTCAAAATCATTACAGAACTATCTACTACACTAGGAACAATATTAATTTGAACTTTGTTGAGGACCTCCATGGTTTTATCGCAAAAATATTGAATAGTTGACGTGACTTTGTGCTCTTTCTGAACCATCTTTTCCAAAGCTCTGGTGTAAGTTTGATGCTTTTCTGACTAGTTCCACTACGAGTATAAGCCGGAGATTGGAATTTCCTAAAGAGTACACACCCTTATGTGCATACATGTTTATGCGCTGGAAGATGTTGCATAACTGTATGAAAATCGTTGCCACCACTGGAGCAGCGATGGGCTTTTACTGCTGAACAGCTAACGTTTGGCGCCGCCTTTGTGCTGAATATCTGCGCAGAAATTGATTTTCTGGCAACAACAGCGAATTATCAACTCACAGGGGACAGAACTGGGCAATTTGCCCGCGTGTCTACTCATGTGCATGCATGTCGGCCGCTGTGATTTCCAGCCGCCTGCATTTGGCAAACTCTCCGCTCAGTTCGGCTCTGGGGTCAGCGGCTTATCGGCAGCGTTGTTGGCGCTTATCTGAGAGCGATTGCGAGTGGTTTTGGCGCAGTGACACAAATTTGAGACAGTTCATTGCAAGCATAAATTGTGCACATTAGACAAATTGAACGAGGCGCCGCTTTGGTTGAAGCTACTCAATAAAGTCGTTAATGCACACGTAAATATGTACAATACATACTCGTACATATGTATGTATGTATATTTGTTAATTTTTACAATTGGGCCTTCATATGAAGATATGTAATTATCGGTTCAAATTAACGCGACCATGTTATTTGTGCCGATGTAGACGCGCTCCGAATGTACTCTTCGATAATTCATGCTGCAACTAAGTTCTGAACGAACACAAACTTAGAAGCAGTGCGATCTGCGCCGGATTCGTTCAGCACCAACTTAAGTTTAGTTTTATTTGCACATTTCATATTTCATATGAATATTCAGATACATATGTACTTATGTTTGTAAGTGTATTGTATTTGCGGCCACACTTTTGTCTGGTTTTCAATGAAAACAATGACGTCATAATTGGTGAAAATTTAATTTGCGCGCCCCTGCAATGTCGACGAGGTGAACGCAGAGGGCCCATAATACACACACATACACACGTACATCCATATATACATTCACACTCTGCATTGAAAATATAACATGTTTGCATATGTGTATGTAAAAGCAAATAATTCGAGCATGCAAGTAAATAGGTTGATTGACAATTACTTCATTTTCTGCAAAGAATGCAAATTAAACGAACAAAAGCAACCCGTGGAAAAATGCATAAGCATAATTTCTACAGAAGACACTAAATCATTTGGCGCTTCGCGTCGGGCAGCTCAGTTGCACTCTAATACATATTTACATACGTATGTATGTATATGGAACGAGTTGGGTGCATGCATTGTCTTACATACATACATACACAGCGATTTTGCAATCGGGCACGTTTCAGAACAGCAACGATAAGTGAAATATTGGTGCACAGACACACAAACTGATCGACAGAAGACACCCGTTTACCATGCAACCCCGTTTGCATTGATATCTGTTGTTTACGCTGTATTCACCTTACTATAATTTCAATACACTTTAAACAAGCAGAAAATTAACGAACATCGAAAGTGAGTGCAACAAATATGCCCATTTAAGAAAATGCATATGAGTTGGAGTATGAATGTACGGGCACTCCGTCATTCTCATACCTCGAAATTGTCATCAATATGATTAACTTGTTTGGGGAACAATAATGCTGAGAACGCAGCAAACACCTCTGCACAATGCTTGTCACAGGAAACACTTTTTGATGTTGGTTTGACCCGGTAATCTAACCTAGGTCCTCTTCAGTGGGTGAGCGCTTCTTCAACCGTTAACTCATGTTCCCTGTCTTCAGAAAACTTATTCCTAGCGGACTCTACTCATTTGTATAATACAATATATATGTGTATAGTATATATTGGCAAGCCCCTTTGAATTTATGTACGACTAAGGTGTACAGTTTTGCATTAGCAACTCACCTAAGATGGCATATAAGGTAAAAACCAATTTCATTAATATGTATTAATGTGTGTGTATACCATAGATACAGCCAATGTGCCACGATTTTGTTTTGTGAGATTGTTGTTTGTATTGAACTAAAAAATCACTGTGCATAAAAGTTTCATTTGAGTAAATGAAGATTTGAAAACCAGTTGAAAGCACCACTGATCGTTGCGGTCATACAGACAAGCCCACAGATATTGAACAAGCTCTTCAGTTTTCATTCGTTTGCTTTATAGCACACCAAACTTCACACATTCACACAAATGCTCGCATATATATGTGTAGGCATACGACTAAAAGTCCCAAATGATGAAAACATCTCAAAGCCCTTAACATGTTGCTTTAGAAAAAGGTAATATCTCAAAAACATTGTTCGACAATTTAAGACATATGTACATACCGATGGATCCACAAGACACGCTGCCCATACTATTTCTGACTTGAAACATCTCACCAGATTGGTCGCTCACCTTTAGCGGAGCCTACTGTATGCTTAAGGGCAACACAACTTAAGAGTGCGTTACCAAAAGCTTTTGAACGATTTGCGCATTTGTATGGTCTCCCAAAATACCACATGAAACTGTGGCGATTTCAGAAGTTTTACCTTACCGCGC